AGCTAGAAGAAAGATCATACCTAAACCAAGATTCAAGAGGTTACTACAAAGGTAGTTATAAGAAAGATCATACTTAAACCAAGAGATTCAAGAGGTTACTACAAAGGTAGCTATAAGAAAGATAATACCTAAACCAAGAGATTCATCAAGTTACTACAAAGGAAGCTAGAAGAAAGATCACACCTAAACCAAGAGATTCAAGAGGTAACTACAAAGGTAGCTGAAAGAAAGATTATACCTAAACCAAGAGATTCATCAAGTTACTACAAAGGTAGCTGAAAGACAGATCATACCTAAACCAAGAGATTCATCAAGTTACTACAAAGGTAGCTGAAAGACAGATCATACCTAAACCAAGAGAATCATCAAGTTACTACAAAGGAAGCTAGAAGAAAGATCATACCTAAACCAAGAGAATCATCAAGTTACTACAAAGGTAGCTGAAAGACAGATCATATTTTCATGATTTATTAATGTACTACAAACAATGAGGTATTCTGAGATGAGCTGAAAAAGATACATGTAAGTTACCACAATACTGGAAAGTTTGAGAAAATTTGTATGCAATGTGTGAAACTGTTTGTGTCAGGTACAAATATAAGTCTGGTATGTAAATGAGCTTTTGGAACATACAACTTCACTCAATGTTAGAGCACAGGCACATTCTGAGAGATATCTAACTTTGCTTAAGATTACATTCAATCCTAAGATCCATCAAAAATTCTCAGAAAGCCATGTTACTTACAGAATCATGAATGCCTCACTAACAAAAAAGGGAAACCCCAGTTTCCAACTTCTCTATCATTATGTGTGGCCAAAATTCATGGCAGTTCACTGAGATCTATTCAAAGAATTATCCATCAAAAATTCTGGATGCAGAGGTCAGACAAATCCTGGGTTTAAGCCTAAGAACAAGGAAGACAGTACACAAGGGTAAGATTGATAGGTATAAGGTTTGATATACCCTGTTTGCTAACAACTTGTAATTAAATATAGAAGCCTGTATTAATTCTACACATGACATTACCCCTCTTATACTATAGGCTGCTTTTAATTTTCATACCAATCACAACTTAAGCCATGACCAAACCTATCACAAGGAAATAATAAGCATATATCTGAGCGACATGAGATGCCATGACAGATACGTGGGAGAATGTGTAACATACAAATTAAAAGCCATTTAAAAAGATATTACATGAAAAAAAACAACATATCTTTTAACAATGAGAACATACACATACAGACATAACATCAAGTAACATAAAATAGAAAACTGACCTTTCCGCATTAAATAGAAAAAATTAACTTTAGTTTATTTCATTATGTATACTTTCATTTTCAGAAAAGAAACGTTTTAGGTTTCATACCTATCTATTTTGAGACTTCTTTGCGAGGAACATTTTTAACATTGCTACACATTCTAATAGAAGTATAGGTATATTCTTATTTTTTATAATTCATTTCAAATAATTCGTATAAATTTTAAACTTATTTTCACACAATTTTGTTTTGCAAGACACACATATATATACTGAGACATGTCCACATTTTTCATCATTTATACATCTCTACAAAAGATAAACTTATACTGTTACACACTTTTATCTAATACATGCGTGCTCTTAGATCACACTTCTGTTCAAAGTATCAATAAAGATAACAATACATAAAAACAAATCAGTCAGTTAGGAGAGTGTATTTTCATTTTTGAAATTATTTTAATTTACTATTTAGTAATTAATTAACTGCATACACAATCATATAATTGTTTAAGACATTGAACAAAAAAAAGGCCATTCACTCCCTCCCTCCCTAAGGTTATCTCTCCAACCACTAAAACTAACCAACTAATATATCAAAACCAAAACTAACTGTACCCATTCACATCAATCAAATGTTTAAAGGTATTCAACATAACATCACAAACACCAAATTATCAGGTAAACCTTTACACAAGCTTAAAACTCTAAGTGAGAAATAACTTTGTCAAAGAATAAGTATGGTCCTGTTGTTTAAAATTGCATATAACAGTCAAATTTCAAGAGCCAAAAATGTTTCATATTATCAGGAATTAACATACAACTATTTATAAATAACAAGATATTTTGGTATCTTGAACAGCTACTAAACCAAAAATACATGTAACCAAGTTCCCTATGCTAACATTTTACAGTTTCAACAACTTTTAAATATTTTCGTAATAAACTGGATAATTAATATTTGAAAATATAACCATCAAAATTTTACATTTTCAACACTTTTTAGTATAGAACCTTTAACTAGAATCAAAACTAGTACAAATAACTCATAAAAACCTGAGGAAGTTATGAAAAACTACGAAAGCAGAATAAACATCAGCAAACCATTTGAAAAAACAAACAAAAGATAGAGTATATACTGAAACTAAAGGTGTTTGAAACAAGAAACAAAGTATTTACAAAGCTCTGAAAAACCAACTGTACTTGAAATAATTGCAGTATTTACTGAAATGAATAAAGAAAACAGATTGAGGTTCTAATGGAAACTAAAATGTATTTAGTGAGTCTTGAAATGAAATACATAAAATTTAGTTTGGAACAAAAAAAAAAATGAAAGGTACTTACTAAGTCCTGATATGAAACAAAGAAAACATAGGCCTAAATAAAATGTTTTTAATTGTGTACCAGTTTAACGTTGAATATTATTTATGATTTTAATAGAAAACATAGTTTGAAATAAAGAATGAAAAAGTATTTACCCAGTCCAGAAATGAAATACACAAAAGAACAGGTATTTAATGAGCCCCGATATTAAATGCAGAAAACTTAGTTTGAAACAAAAAATGGACAGTATCTACCGAGTCCTGAAGTGATATACAGAAATCTTAATTTGAAACTGAAAAGAAAAAGTATTTACTGAGTCCAGAAAAACAAATTACATATTTGGACACAATGATCTTCTATTTATAGTATTTTAAGATGCTTTGATACATAGAATATTTTCTGTTGATACTACAATTTAAAATGAAGTAGTTGAAATTTTAATGCTTTTTTTTTTTATAATGAAACATATGCACTTCTGAAAATCTGAGAACCATGTGAAAATCTATTTACATCTTCCACTCAACAAATTTGTTTTTCAGGGAAACATTAATTCACAACCAACCATCAGACCTCAACAATATCACAGGATATATCTAATAGATATATATAAGATTGTGAAAACAAAATATATGTTCTTTCAGCTGTCATTACTAAATACTAACTACACAAAAACTACATTGTGGCACATCAAACATTATATATATATATATATATATATATTTTTTTGGTTTTAAATTTTAAAATAGTTTCTGCACACACACATGAATAGATTTTCAGTTATATTAAACATATATAATACGTCTATAAATATGTATATAACATATGCTACACACACACACACACAATGTCAAACTATAGTTTTAAGTTAATAGTTAGACTAAATAACTTGTAAATCTTCAAGTTTATGAATTTGTGGGAGGGTTTTGGTAATCCAAATAAATTATTACCCCCCCCCCTATCTAATAATAATAATAAAAAAGTGTAAAATTATATGAGTTGGCTACTGAAAATTATAACATTTTTAGAATTAATTGTATATGTGAAGTTTATTTAATTGTTTTAGTGATAATTAATATTTTAGTTGAACCTATATATTTATAATAAGCATTTACCATAACGTTGTTGCTATTTGTATTTGAAATTATAATGTATTTATAACTGAATAAAACTTGAATACCTACCAGCACAATATGTAACAAATACGGCAAACAAACTATCCAAGCGAATCAGAAAAAGCTTCTTTTATTTTTCATACTCAACAGAAAAAGAAAAATAACGTTGCACAGTTATACTGGCTAAAAGTTAAAAATAACAAACAGATGCGTATACATATATATTCCAACAACTGTTTTCATTATTTATATTTATTAGTTAGTGTGTTTATACTTTTTTCAACGTATTAGTTTGATTTGAAACTAATAGTAATAAATGCTGATTTAAACCCGCTTTATATATATATATATATATATAAACGTTAGTCTTGCTACTAATGCTAGTTGTAGTCATACGTTATTTTAAAATATTATGAAAATCGCGTGCTTATGATCTACATATTTCCAATACAGAATTACCTTATCTTTGCAAAGAGAAATTTCGATTTTATTTCTTAATTTGTATTACTCTTTTTAATGCAATTATTTTAATTTTCTACGGTAATTCTTTTTTTTTATATATATTACATTTAATAACGATGGGAGCAACTATAACAACCTCAGTTTGGTAGGCCTTTTGCATTACTATTAGTCATGTTCTTATTGAATAAAACATTGTGACATGTACGAACAAAATAAATGTCCACAATTCACGCTTGTATTACGAGAAGTTTCACTACAAAATTTATTTTCTTTCAAAGGTTCGTTTCTTTTTCCCTATTTCAAAACGAAGCGTGGGATTTTTACTTTGTTTTCACCTTGGCTTAAGTATTCTTGCTGGTGGAATATAAATAAAACTTCGCTTATTTATTATCAACTTTACTGTTATTATATATTAATATTATTATATTATGCGAAAACCCAGAAGAGTACATTGGAACTCTGTTTATATTAGCGAAATATATTATTGTCAATTGAAAATAATTGTTGTATAGATTGATCTGAAACCTTTTATGCAACGGTAAAAGCTATTTATCAAATCAAAACTAGATTAAATGTTAAACTAACACAATACTAAACTCGCCATACAGTTGCATGTGCTGTCGTTAGTTATACTCTTAAGTTCTAGGCGCATAGTTACCATGCTATTTTCTCGAGTTATAGTGAAATAAAATGTTGTTTCTAGGTTTATTAAACATCTAAAATTGTTCAAATACCAATCATTGTGCTTCAGTGGTAATTGTTTATTACTATTAAAGTGTTTTTTAATAATATTAACGAATATATTTACAAAAAAACGCATGAAATACATGATTAGTCATACCTCTTCCTAAGTTATCCGCCATCAAATTAGGAGTTTTCGCACACAACAAAATTTCAACTGCGCATGCGGCTATTCCATGTATCAATCTCCCCTTAACGTAACCCTTAGTGTTGCTTCATAATATATACAAAGACGTCATTATGCTTATAGCGAAATATAAAATTCGCCCAAATTCATTGATTTTATTTTCAAAACGAGGAGAAATGTGAATACATTATTAATCCAATATTCTCATTCCGTTCAGTATTTTTGACACACACATAAAGCACGGCCAACTTAGATAACAATGTTCTTTGTAAACTTTTACATTATGTGTAACGAATTTTTTATTTATTTATTTTTTTGCTGACAATAAAATCTGAACTATGATTAATCCTATATATTCATGTTGCAATATTATGCTTGTTATCACCTCTTAGTATAAACCTTTTTAAAAGTAAAAACTTTACAATTGTTATTTCGCTTGTTTTCCGTTTCCGCGTGTTGTTTTTAAGTTGTAGTATAGTAAGTTAAATCACTTCAGTTAATATTGTACAAAAACTATGGGTTTGCATAAACCCTTGTTAACAGTAATATATTCTGTAAATATTTTATTTCGAAAACTAACTCAGCTGTATTATACAATTTCAGTGAAAAATAATGTTTCATGCAATTTACAATCTTAATTATTGAAAACACACACTGATATAAAATACAGTTATAAGATTTAAATGAGTGAACGAACTGTATAAATATATTTACATATTCTGTACTCACATTTCATAAGTCAACCCAAACGACGATAAAGACGAGTTTCAACTGTTAATTATTATCATTATTATCTTATAGCATTTTCACAGCACCAAACGATTGTTCTTCAGGCCTTTTAATTAAGTAGTGAATACTTCCTTCATTATTTATAGCGTTTTCACAGCACCAAACGACTGTTCCTTAAGCCTTTTAGGTAGTGAATACTTCCTTCATTATTTATAGCGTTTTCACAGCACCAAACGACTGTTCCTTAAGCCTTTTAGGTAGTGAATACTTCCTTCATTATTTATAGCGTTTTCACAGCACCAAACGATTGTTCCTTAGGCCTTTTAGGTAGTGAATACTTCCTTCTACATTCTTTTATGCTAGTTACGTCACTCGTGAACAACTGATAGGAGTTTGTTACAGTTACAGTTCTTCAATTCAGAAAAAAATATTGTATGTAAATTGTAGTTGTTTCAGATTCAAACTGGAAGAGATAATTAAAACGACACTTTCAATATTATATAGGGCCACAATTAGCTGCTCTGAGAATAAGCAAATACGTAGTGAGATTTTCAGTAGTGACCAAAGTTGTTAGACTTCAGATAATCAGCTTAAGACCAGATAATCTCACTTTTTTGTTTACTGTTAAAAATTTAGACGCTGTCGTGTGTATGGTAGACATTGTTAAGAAATGTTGCGAACATCGCCCATTGTTGTAGCAGCGACTGGGCGTGGCCTAGTGATTAGAGCTTGTCGGATTGTGAATCCGAGAGTCCATGGCCCGCGTCCTGTTTCCGCAAAACTGCTCTTTGCACTTTGGGGCAGTGAGTGCATTATAATAGTGATGGTCAGTTCCACTATTCGATTAGAGTAACCCTTAAGTTGGCGGTGCTGTTGACTGGTTGCCTTTCTTATAATCTACCATTTCAAAATTAGGAATGAGTGGCGTAAAATAGTCCTTGTGTAGCTTTGCGCTAATATCCCTAACAAACAGATTATAATTTTAGTTCCGAAAGTTCGTGATGCTCCCCTGTTTTCAAGCTGGCCCTGGCAACTGTTTTTCTTAACGTTTTGTTGACTATTCTAACTCTGACATGTTTAAAATCAGCTCACTAGCAGTTCGAATCATCGACTTTTATAATTTTCTTCAATAAGTAGTTAGGCATGTCTGAATTTCTTTTTAAAATATTAGTTACTTGATACTAAAATGTGTTTTTTTTTAATATATTTTCTTCTAAGTTGTTAATTACCTGCGATTTTCTACAAATATTTATTTGTCATCTGCAAGGCTATCTGTTTCTAAGTGTAAAATGATAGGCTACTCAACAACACCCACCGCCTACTCTTGGGATACCCTTGCCAGATCGAATATTGAGTCGGAGTGTACCATTCCCTTATAACGCACCCATGTCTCCAAATTGCAGAGCGCGATTTTTTATTTTTGATAGGGGGGGGGAAGGTGACGATAACGAGACACGAACCACTGGGCCATGTCTTTCAATGTATTTAAACTGATTGTCAGAGTAAAACTGTACGAAATAAGTTAGCGACTTCAACATAATAACTTTAACTTATTTTTATCTACATAATATGTACACTTATACTTGATAAATAAAAAAAAAGCGTTCATTGGTCATGCTGTATACTACATCGTCAGATTATCGTAAGTTTAAATTTCTTCAAATATATGGCAAGCAGAATAACTTTTGATTAATTTTTGCATCGTGTTTCTTAAGTCAATTTTACTCGGAATGTTAAATTTAAAAGGCCGCGTTGCTTTGGTTTGTTTTAAGAGCAAATAAGAATTACAAACTCAAAGTCTCTCTATTTTTTTCATGCAAGTACCGGTGTTGTTATAAGTGGCTCAGCGTTAAGCTTGAGTTCTTATAACAGTAAAAATCTGGGTTCTATCTAGCCATGCTGCAACCCCTTTTATAGTAGTGTTGGAGTTGAAAGTCATTTAACAAAACTACAATCTCTGTGTGTGATAGAAGCTGTATATTGGGTTATATGTCCATAAAATTGTAGGTAGACAGAAATCCGACACCATGAAGCAGGAGATGGTGCAACGCCCTCAGTTCCCGGGCGCTTGGTTTGATTCCTTCTGTTGGGAAACACAGATCCAATTTGGCAGTTTTTTACTTAATAACAAATAAATCGTGTGGTTAAACAGATTGATAATATTCCCTCTGTGACTTTTTGGTAATTTCCTTGTATAAAGAGAATCGTCATGCTTTTTGATCAAAGCAACATACTTATTTAGATTAAAACAATAAATTAACCCTATTGTATTGTTAAATTGATTGGCTCATACTGAACTCAGTATATTTTCATTACTCTCTGTAGGGCTTGGCGCCCCCCAGTGGCACAGCGGTAAGTCTCCGGACTTACAACGCTAGAAACCGGGTTTCGATACCCGTGGTGGGCAGAGCACAGATAGCCTTTGTGTAGCTTTGTGCATAATTAAAAACAAACAAAACAAACTGTAGGGCTTGGCGTGTATATATATACAAAACAAAAAAAACAATATTATAAAGAGACCAGAATTCAGAATTATTCTTCCATTACTAGCTCTCGTTATTATCCTTAAGTCATAACGGATAACGTCTGTGGTCATAACGCTCAAACGCGTTAGGGATATTCCAACTATCAGACAGTATTCCGACGCCGTTGTCAAACTATCTTAACTCGAACTGCCTTTTGTTGTCTGCAGCCAGTTGTGGGCGGGTTTAAGAACTGTTAAGGTAAAGGGTTTTAGTTCTGTTTAACATCACTAATCGTTAAATAAAAGAGTGAGAATTTGTATAAATATAAAGTAATTTTAATTCTAATTTATGAAAGCTAGAAGTTTTGTATTGTAGAATTTTAGGGTGGTTTAATTGTAACGTTATATCTAAATATTCAAGGTAACTGCCTTCCCACAACTGTAGGAGTTGAGATGTAGTGGTTCAAGCAGTCAGTTTTCAG